GCACCATATTTAATATTGAAGTTCTTCTGTGTATAAAATTACTGAAACTCCTAGAGTTTAATTAATTTTCATTATTCTTCATTTTAGATCCCCTAGTGTCAGAAATTTTTTACTTTATTGTATATGATGTTGTTATTGTTACGTGCTGTCGAGTCGGACCTGACTCATAGTGACCCCTCCTTGGGTTGCCGAGGCAGTATCACTACGGAAGGAGATTGATCCATCTTCCTTAGTACTGATATTTTAAGATCTAAATGCTACATGGCAGCATGGCATGTCTGTGAATACTGTGTTGTTATCTGGTTACAAAACTATAATCAGTTTTATAAACATTTTAGTTCTTATTTTTGAGAATTAAATATGGCTATAGGAACATAGTTTATGAGAAGATATAATTTACTAAGATACCATTTCATAAATTTTTCTAATATATGTTATAGTTTTATGTTCGATTTGCAACCAGATGTTCAAATCTATCCAATATCTTAGTAAAACACAAATTGCATTTTAACTCTCTTAAGATAGTGTCAGACTTTCTGAGTTCTCTTGTATGAGGAACAGTAAAAGCATGTATCCTTCATATAGGAAGGGACTCTTTCTTTGTTTTTATTTTAATTGGGAAGATTTTTATTTCAGTGCAAATGATTATTTAAGAGGGCTATTTTCCAGAAGGCTGTATGTACAGATATACACCATAAGATTATTTTTGCCAAATCCTTGCAGTTTTTAAATGTTCTTTCCTTATCTCTTGGGTAGAAAACCAAAAAAAAAAAACAGGACTGATTGCCGTTGAGTCGATTGGACTCATAGCAACCCCTCCTTGGGTTTCCGAGGTGGTATGTCTATGGAAGCAGATTGCCCAGTCTTCCTTCTGAGGAATGGCTGATGGATTTGAACCGCCAGCCTTCTGGTTACCAGTCAAATGCCTTAGTCACTATGCCACCAGAGTGAAATGTATTATAAATAAAGTGTTTCTTAGACAGAAAATATTTAAAATACGCTCAAGAAGACAAAAGAGTAAAGCAATCTAGCTCTGTCTTCTGAGCGCTATTTAAAAATAGGAAAGAACATGACAAAAGTTGAAATGTCAAAATGGTGGCCCCTATTTGGTCAGTTTTGCTTGAAAATCTATATTTTTAAGTAAAATTCATAATTAGTATTTATTATCTTGCTTTATTTAATTGATTTTTAGTTAGTCAAGGTGTAATTTAACAATATTCTAAATATATTTTGACTCAGACTATTAGTTAATTAGTCACACAATCTTTTAGTACAGCACAGTCACAAAACACATGCATCAAAGATACCACCCCACTACCATTGAGTTAGGAGCTCTGGTAGCATAATGCCTAAGGCATTTGACTGGTAACCAGAAGGCTGGCAGTTCAAATCCACCAGCCACTCCTCAGAAGGAAGGTTAATCTACTTCCATAGTGATACCGCCTCAGAAACCCAAGGAGGGGGTCTCTATGAGTGGGATCTGACTCGACAGCAGTGAGTTTGGTTGTAGTTTTTTTTTTTTTGGTTTTTTTGGACCACTGAGTTGATTCAGACTCATAACGACCATCATTGGGTTTCCAAGGCTGTAAGTCTTTACAGAAGTAGATTGCCTCATCTCCTCCCTCAGAGCAGCTGGTGAATTTGAACCGCTGACTTTCTGGTGAGCAGCCAAATGCCTTACCCACTGTACCACCAAGGTTCCTTAAAGATACCACAGCCTTGTATAAATTATCTGCATTATCTGGCTTGACTTGAAGTTATATGCATAAAATTTTTGCAATAGTCATTCTTTTTATAGATATAGCCTTGCAACATATATAAATTTTGTATTTAATTTGGATTATAAACCAATAAAAACTATCTCATCTTTAAAATAATAGGATTAGTTCTCAAGTTTGGTAGAATTTTTGTTCATGTAATTACAGTTCTTTGAACACATTTATTCCAGGGAGAAAAAAATTGCAAAAGTGCTTTTTTTTTTAAAAAAAAAAAAAAAGAAAACACTCATGTTTGTGAAGTAAGTGAGATCTAGTTGGTATCTTATTTTGTCTTGTGAATATACAGTTACCATTAATCATAATATATAGTGCATTTTTATATCTAACCAAATTCTTTTTTCTGAGATGCAAATGAAGAATATAATATAGTTCTTTCCACAGCTATGAAGTTTAAGTGGTGATTTTTCTTATTAATTCTACTGTGTGCCTTTAAATAATAAAGTAACACTCTAACCTTTAATCTGTTCCTTCAAATATTTAATAAAGCAAAGGTGTAGATTTATTACTACATGTGCAAATGTATAACATTAAGAAAAGTTAAAAAAATATGTTTCCAACAGAATGAATTAATACAAGTTCTTCAAGGACTCATGGCACACACACTCTACATGTATTAATTTATTCTACTGAAAACTTTGTTTGGGGTTTGTACTTTTCTTTACTCAAGTTTATTTGTGTTCCATGTAGATACATTTAATTAGTCTGCCCTGTTGGTAAAATGTCCAACGTTCATATCATTATAAAGTAAGCACTTCCAGCATTTTCAATTTTCTACCACAGGGTGTGTACATCTAAATAGAGCACGGTAAATTAACTAGAGCTGAATCATCCTTTTATCTCACCTGCATTAGCATTCACGTTACAGGCCTCATAGTGAAGTCTGCCCATTTACAGACAGACATTGACCTTACACCAATGCCACAAATTCTTTAGGGCTATTTGCAAGCTAATTGTAGTATAAATTTCTTTTTGATCAAAATCTAAAAGTAGCAAAAAGTACCGGAGAATTTGTTCAGAAAAAGTTTTCAACTAGCTACATATAAAATTCCACCTGTGTTTTGTTTTGATTTTTTTACTGTTGCCTAAGAACTAGCTATATAGTTATAATTTTATAGCTAATAATACTTTTATTTTAAAAAATTAAAGAGCAAATGGAAAGGTAAGTAGCAGTCTTAGCTTGTGATAAGTTAAGTAGATAAGACAGTTTGCTGATTCAGTAAGTTTTGAGTAGCATGTACTGCTGTCTACATATTTTAAATACTAGGAATATAACTGTCTACCTTTGGACAATCCTAATCTTTGCATATATTTGCATATAGGTGCAGAAGAAACTGAGACACCTGTTTTAAAATTGGCATTAGTTTTCTAAGCTCATCACCATCTTTTTAAGGCATAATAGGACTTAATTGAAAATCTGTTCTTTTTATCTATGTCTTGTTATAATTTACTTTATTCTGTAGATTTAAGAATTCAGTCTTAAAATTTAATGTAAAATTAAGTTTTTTTCTAGTTTCATAGTATTGATTCATGCCACTGTTAAGGATAACTGGAAACAATTAAGAACTAAGAAGAAATGTAAGTAATGATAGACAAGGGAAGAAACAGATTGCATTGATGCTAGTAATCATGGTCTAGAAGACAAGCCTTTCTAACAAATTGGTCATAACCAGTCAGTGAAACATTTCATAAACTAAACAAGGATCAGTTTAACCAATCTTAAATGGAATATTTCTATCAAAATGCTACTTGTTATAGGCCCAATTACTGATTACTAGGTATGAGTAATAGGTTTTAAGGATCTCATGAATTAGTGGAGATTTTTCTCTTTAGAATTCCATAGAAGAGCAAATTAACTTGTCATCACCTTAAATGGTATGTTTAAATTCCATGTTTTATAAAGTTTTTCCAAGTGTTTCCACAAGAAACATTCATGTGTAATAAAATTTTTATACATCTGTCTAGAATAAGTTCTATGAATAGCTCTTTTTACTCTTAAATGAGATATATAGAGTATCCTATTTAAGAGAGAATAATTTTAAATTGCCCTATAAACCTCAAAGGAAAGTTGGAGAGATCAGAAGATACATTGAATGGGAAACATGTTATTACTGTTTTAGAGTCTTTCTGCCATTTTACCACCCTAACTCTTTCCTACATCCTTCTCCTTTACTCTACCTTTTCTTTAGAGATGAAAAAGGAAACCTTCCCTGTGAAGACCTCAGGGGACATATGGTGGGCAAGCCAGTGCATAAGGGATCTGAATCACCAAATTCCTTTTTGGATCAGGAATATCGAAAGAGATTTAATATTGTTGAAGAAGATACTGTCTTGTATTGTTATGAATATGAAAAAGGAAGGTCAAGCAGTCAAGGAAGACGAGAAAGCACTCCAACTTACGGTAACTATAAAAGTTCTTCTCTTAATATTTACATAAGAACACATTTCTGCCATGGGAATCTCCATTTCCTTTTATAGGCTTTTGAGTTGTGAGAATTACTTGATAACTTCTGAATCTTTATAATTGATCTCTGTCAATCATGTGCTTTTAAGAGGAATCTCAACAATTTTAATGCTTGACGATAGAAATTATTCTAAATTTTCCGAAGATAAGCAAGGACAGTCGGTAACGTTTAGCTCATTAATGGTTTAATTAAAACATTTTAGCATCACATGTGATTTTTGTCTGTCACATGTTGCCAAATTGGAATACACCTACTCCTCACTTACTGATAAGGTTTGGTTCCAAGGACCAAGTTGTTATGTGAAAATTAGCTTTATGTGAAAATGGAGGATGACCACATCACATCACAAAATGGAAAATGAGGATATCATTACACAACTGCCCAATTTTATCATTACGTAACTGCCAAACCACTGAGATTTATAGCCTAGCCAACTTGCCACATAACCTTAACCACGTTGATCAGTGTTACTCTCACTTTGCACCTTAGCATTCGTAACTGCTGCATGGCCATCATTAATGTGCAAAATAGTTGGATAGTAGATTTTTTACTATTGTCATAAATGCAAAATATCAGATAATGAAATAGTTGACAAGTGAGTAGTAAGCAAAATTAATTTGACATGTGAATGAAAGAGTTGACATTTTAAAGAGGATGGACATACAATATATAAGGCAAAGATGGGCCTAATGTTACATATACCTAGGATTGTTTTCTATTTAACTTCTATTTTTCCATGCATGACCAAGAAAGTTACCTGGTCACAAATAATTAAAATTGATATAGTGCATCTGAAAATTTTGCAAATAAAATTGCCTAAAGTCAGAGAAGGAAAGTCTGTGGCCTTATTGCAAAATGAATGAAACTAATTGGGTAGTCTCTGCTCCTCCGTTTCTAATTTTCAAACTGTAATTTTCAGTGAGGCACTTATACTTTGGGGAAGGACAGGAGCCCTGCTCATTAGTCCAGATTTTGTCAGTGGGAGCTATACAGAAGGAAAGTTGTTTTTAACACTCCTTTCTCAATCCCCTGACTTGTTCACCATAGTCATATGCCTCCCTCCTGACCCCAAAAGAGCAGGCATCACATACCTTAATACACATGCCTTATTTCTTCACTGATCTTGGGTAAAAACTTTGAATGAAAAATTTTACACGGACCATACTTATTTTACTTTGTGTTATTCTTTGTATGTGTGCTTTTTTTTTTTATCATGGGAATAAGTAATGATATATTTTAGCATAGCTCATCAATTATACTACTCTGGTAGCACTAATTTTGAACCATTATATATTGAAGGTATTTATACTTTGCTTTCTCCCCTATTATATTATAAACCTATACAGTATAAAAACCTGACAGCTTTGTTATCTCTACCCCAGCCCCATGACTAGTAAAATGTCTTGAAGATAGTAGATTCTTAATAAAAATCATTTGAATTAATAAATGAGTAACAGTACTTAAAGGTTTGGGTGGAATTTTCAAAAGGGCCATAAAATATTTATTTATTTATTAATTCCACAAATACCTACTGACTGGTACCTTCTCAAACCTAGGTATGAGAGCCAAGGAGTGACATAAATATCTCATCTCAGATCCTAAGGGCACCAGCAGAAATTACTTCAGAGCTTCATAAACTATAATAGATGACTGGAATAGAGTGACACAACTCTATTTAACCTACAAGGATCTCTGGTGGTGTAGTGGTTAAGGCATTTGGCTACTACCAAAAGATTGGTGGTTCAAACCCACCAGCCACTCTGTGGAAGAAAGATGAGGCAGTCTGCTTCTGTAAAGATTTATAGCCTTGGAAACCTAAAGGGGTCGCTATTATTCGGAATTGACTTGATAGCAGTAAGGTTGAGGTATTTAACCTATAAAGTGTCCCTAACACGTACTCCCAAGTATGACAGTATTCTTTTGTGTTTGAAAATAATGATGATGAAAATACACTATTCTAATAAAATAAGTATTTAACAAAAAATTTAAAAAAAGCCAAAAATTTCACGTCTGATGTTTTCTGGAAATGACAGTAATTTAATTGTAAATATTTGTATGATACTTTAAAATGCAATGTCTAAGTCCTCTGGTAGCATAATGGCTAAGGCACTTGACTGCTAACCAGAAGGCTGGTGGTTCAAACCTACCAGCCACTCCTCGGAAGGAAGATGGGGCAATCTACTTCCGTAGTGATACTGCCTCGGAAACCCAAGGAGGGGTCACTATGAGTCGGGTCCGCCTCGACAGCACAGAACAACAACAACAACAACAAGTCCTTTATCCTTAGTGTGTTCAACTTAGGCCTTGGTCACAAATGCTCTTACTTTGAAGTATGTGAATTTAACCACCATTACTCATCTTCTAACTTCCCAGATTACCTCTTTACTCAGAGAGGGTAGAGTTGAGATTATCAGAATTTGGGTAGGATTTGGGGAAGCAAAGGGGAGACATAGTACAGAGCTTAGTTTATGCTTTTAGTGAAATATGTATGTACTTGTGACATTGTCTTAGTGCATTTATATTTTAAAGCTAAATATATGAGAAAATATTTAGGGAAGATCTGTTATTAGGCATAGTGAACAAAGAAACAAAAAAAATGCTTAAAAGTAATCTGTGGGTTTTAAAATATATTGTGTAACCAAAGTTCTCATTTTATATCATGTACCCACTGGTTGTTGCTTAGAGTGAGTTAAAAGAAGTGCAGTGATTTGTGCTTGTAGACAAGTACGATATGACATCCAGTGGAAGGTCTTTATAAAAACTAAGCATATACTTTCTGAACTTTTATGTATGTTCTAAGCATTTCAATGGCATCAATCCATTTAATCCTCACAACAGCCTAACCTCATAAAGGAAAACCTTATGAAGTAGATATTAATAAAATCCTTATGTTACAAATGAGAAATCGGAAATACAGAAAGTTTAAATAATATGCCCAACTAGTAAGTGGTAGATCTGGGATTAAGAACACATGGATAGTTGTGAACCCTACTAGTAGTACTAATAACTAAATACATTCTTAGCTCAAATAATGAAAAAAATTTGCTAAATTGTAGGAAAATAATTTCTAAAAATTATGTTGCTCCTTCCAAATTCAAGTATTTTATTTCAGGCAAACAGAAGTAGGTCTGATACTGTATGTTTTTGTAGATGGTTTGCATTTACTGGTCATTTTAATAAACGTGCATTTAGCTGGATGTGGTCCTGACAGACATTAGGAAAAAAGAAACTGCTAGATTGGGCAACAATGAGTTATGTCCTTTTTAAATCAGAAAGCACAAACTAAGTTTTACTTTCCTAAAAAGATAGACAAGAATAATTTCTGGAAACACAAATATCAGTAGGGGAAGGAACAGATTAGTGGTTAATAACATTGGCTGTAATAGCAGAAGGAACTCTGGTCTGTAGTGCCTAAGACACTTGACTGCTAACCAGAGGCTGGCAATTCAAACCCACCAGCCCCTCCTCGGAAGGAAGATTGGGCAATCTACTTCCTCAGAGATACCACCTCAGAAACCCGAGGAGGACTCACTATGAGTCAGATCTGACTTGACACCAGTGAGTTTGGTTTAGTTTGCATAGTAGCAGACATACTTTGTATTCCTATCTACCATAACTCCTTTTCTTGTTTGTTAAATGAAGATGATAATATCTGCTGCATAGTTTTTCTAAGAATTTAATGACAGTGCATTATAAATTGCCTTGAAAGTGCCCAATGTAGGTTAGATTTTTATTTTCACTATACCCACTCAAAACTTTGACATTGTTGGATTCCAAAGACAAGGTAGTTATGTGAAATCAGCTTATGCAAGAGTTGGGGGCAGCACCCTGTCTTCAGAGACAGTGCCCCCCCCCACATGCCCACAAACCCAGTCACTCACTCCCTGTCGGGTACCCTGACAAGCTTCAGGAAGCACATGGTGTGGTGGCCCTCTTTCCCCGCCACCATGGAGCCTGCAGGGATTGGAAGGGAGGTGATGGTTGGGTGTTACCCACCTCCAACCACCCACCATGGGTGGGGACCCTGCTCGTCCCCCAGCCTCATAGTCCCATGTGGCCCCAATTCCCTCTTCTCCCCTTCCCCCCAAAACCTCGCCAGCACCTTCAGGCTCCCATCCTGCCTCCCCCGCCCCCCACCTGCAGCCTCACATCAACCAGCCCTTGCCACACACTCTCTGGCCGGACTGAGATGTCATGGACCAATGAGAGAAGGCATCCTGCAGCTGACCATCAGCTACTGCTCCTTCCACAGCATTTGCCAGGGCCTCAGGTACATGCTTCTGAGAGTGCCCTAGGCCTGGCTGCAACCCTGCATGAGGCCTGGAACTTCAGAGGTGCTGCCTGAGGATTTTTTCAAAGCTGTCATAAATGGGAAATCTCATATAATGAAATAGTCGCTATGTGAGGAGTAAGTTTCATAGATACTTTAATGTAAAGACAGAAAGGAGTGAGGGGACAGCATTGAATCAGTTTAACTGTCCTCACCTGCTCATGCTTCAGAGGCAGAAGTTCAAATCTGATGAGATCAGTTGCTTGGCAACTTTTCAGAATGGTAGTATTTCCTATCCGTTTTCCCATTCTCTGTTCTCAGACTCCTTACCTTTGCTTTTCCACCATAACACATTTCTGTGCATAAACCTGCTAAAAGGTAGACATAGCTGGCTGAGCCTATGTGGTGTAAGTGGTCATATTTTATAAGAAGAGGAGGAAAACATATTTTTTTAAAAAAATAATTGTTGTTGTTGTTATTTGCCATCCAGTCGGCCCCGACTCATAGCGACCCCTCCTTGGGTTTCCAAGGCAGTATCACTACGGAAGTAGGAATGCCCAACCTTCCTTCCGAGGAGTGGCTGGTGGGTTTGAACCGCCAGCCTTCTGGTTAGCAGTCAAGTGCCTTAGGCACTATGCTACCAGATAATATGACACAATAATATTG